CGAGGATGTTTCCGTGCTTGCAATATTCGACTAAGAGCAACAGTTACGCCTAAAAGAGACGGGAAAGCGGAAAATATTAAGGAAGAACACATGGTCATAACATAACACTAGCCCGTGTATTCAACGTGACAGAAATAATATCTGACCTTGACCCCTTTTACCCAACAGAGGAATAACTCAGAGGATGAAAGTCTTCCCGAACATCCCTCTGCCGCAGAGAACCCAGCCCTACTTCGAGGCGAAGTGCTTTGAACATGCGCCTAAAAGGTTGACGATGTTCATGTGACGCCCGATGTGCAACATGATCTTGAGCTCCAGCGCAGTCTTTCAGCTTGTACAGTCCGACGTGTGACCTCGTCATCTTGACCAGCCACTGTAGTGCGGGCGGCTTCCCCGTCCGGAGGTTGAGGACTGTAGGCGCGGATACACGTGCCGAAAGCGCCCCGAGCCCAGGAGCTGGTCTGGCGGGGTAATGCGTCGCGTGAGCAGGTGATTTTCCCTAACATGTTAACTGGAAAAGGTGCATGGGCGGCACATCCTTGAAGGATATGTCCGCAATGCTTTAAAAGGAGAGCAAGAGGAGAAAGGCAAAGACGGGCAAAGACGAGAGTAAGAAGGCTTATGAAGGAGCAAAACACCTACCGAATTATTAAATCCCTCGGTACTTCATACTTGGTATCATAAGGCAAGGGAGGTCTGCTGCTGGTCGAGGAGCCGAGCTGTGGGTTTAAGGCATCTTCGGGACATCCTCTGAAGAAATCTTATGATCCTCCAAGCGCAGAACATACGCGCGTTTCTTGCGAAGGAAGATGGCAGGCTGAATCGCTCGCCATCGACTGTTCAAAGGGGCGTGCATTTGTAAGGGAGACTTGGAGAGGAAGAGAGGGGCCTGAGCACCACGACTTCTAGCAAATATCCCAGTGTTTTTTTTTCATTATCTTTTAATAAACAGACGCCGCCTCATTAACATAACTATATCTATGTTTTATTTTTTAACCTAAGATCACATTGTTTTATAACAGCAAACTTCCGTTTTCTCGTCAAACTTGACGAAGGCGTCTTTAACTGCCTATTTAAAACTAAAAAATGGTAATTCTTTGGAATTAATTGTTGAAAAGATTGATTTTCTGTTTTAATTTCGTTCCTTTCTGTCTGGAAAGACCATTGTAGCCAAAATTCCTAATTTAACAGATCAGCTAAAACAATCCCCAAGAAGCGATTTTGATAAGCACACAACCCGAAAAAAGATAATTTAATATTTACCTTATAAATATAAATCCTCAACAGAAAGAGAAGACGACTACAAAGAGCAAAGCACAAGCAGAAATTGACACGATAATAATCATTGTCTTATGACTCAAAGGAGAGTCGGGGTCCGTCACGTACACGTACGTTTTTGCCCTCGATTGCGCCAGCGCGATTTCTCACCTGTAACATGGAGAGACAATTAGTGGCTATTTTGTAAGTACAATAAAAAAAACAGCACTGTTCAATGTTTTCTCCATAAATTTCTCAGTGTAATGATAATGTTTTTTTTTTTTTCTTTTTTTTTTTAACGTTCTTTTAAACAGATGTGCATGTTCAGTATGCTGAGCATGTCTAAATACTTTTATCTAGATGTTTTACACTTATATAAATCATATGAGATTATACTACGTCTCTCTCACTACTTCCAAAGACGTCTACAAAGTCACATCACTAGTTTTGTCTCGTTGCGCTACGACAGAAAAAAAATCTAAAAATCTAAAACTAAGTCTGCCAATAATAGCCCTAATACTGTGGAAAAATTATTACATAAAACATTTATGAAATTCACTGTTACTTTAAACGTTTTCCCTTTTTTTCTTTTCGCTTTTTTTTTTCTTTTTTTTTCTTTTCTTTTTCCTTCGTTATTTTGCTCAAGATAAAAACGAACGGAAATGATGAAATACTACGCGGAAAAAAGAATACCAACCACGCATTTATATTCTCCTGGTCACCGTACTAGTAATAGGAGAAGTAGAGTTCTTGTTTCTGATCTCCCTGTTCTTAGGTTTTCCCTCGATCCCGACTCCATCCTGGTTAAGAACACGAGGCTGGAAAGAAGCAATGTGAGAAGATCCATTAAAAATAGTAAATGTTAATGATTATGAAGCTGCGATAATGAACCGCCACAGGAAGAGTCGTGATAGTAATGATACTGCTACTTATCATAATAAT